CTGTGATCCACCGTGTCCCCTGCCTCCAGCGCCTGTACCCCTTGTGCCTCCTTAGCCGAGACCCCCACGGAGTTTACCAAGACCAGGCTCACTTGGTTTGAACTGACCAATCCGGGGTGGCCCAGGACCTGCAAAGCGCTCCACCCAGAGACCCTAGGAAAGGCTTGTCCAACCCCACCCTACCTCTCTGGGTCAACTCTGCCTCGACCTCCCCGCTGGCCCCTCCACGCGGGCCATGTACCTCCTCCAGCCATGAGTGAGAAACTTCTCTATTTCAGTTTCTCTTGGTGTCGCCTGTTGAACCAGCTCCCGGCCGGGCACCACGTGTGTTAATTGAACAAAGTCACAACAGCTGGCCCCAAGGACCGGCTGGAACGGTCCTGGCTCGCAGTTGGCCGCAGGGAAGGCCTTTTAGCGGCAACCGGCTGGCAGGCTGGCTCCGCCAGGGGTCCCACGGATTGCTGGCCGCCTTCCCACACAGTGCCAGCTCCCAAAGAAGCCCCCGAGTCCTCCTGGTCCTTGGAGCACTGCTACCCCCGGGCTTAGACTTAAGGTGTGTTTTTCCACCGCAAGCACCGACCCAGCTGGCGACTGTTGGAATTGGCCATGGTTTTCACAAGGCCCTGGTGTGGGCTAGCACACAAGAGTGGCGACCCTGCCCAGGTATAGGTTACCGGGTGAAGGTGCCAGGCAGTGCCCTTAAGGGGGACAGGGAGAAGGGGTCGCTGTGCTTGCGGGCGGCACGGGGACTTTATGTCGTAACCAGACGGTAGGGGGCGCCCTCGCCAGGAACGCGCAACTCCAGGCAAAGGAGTGTGCACCGGGCCGGTCCCCCTGTTGCTGCACACCTTGCTGCTGTCACCCCTCGTCCCCTGACCCTAGGGGATATTCTAGGTCCAACCCTGGTGCATGGTGACACAAGATTAATGGCCCGATACAAACAGCCTGGGCGCTGGTCAGCGCTTGGTGCACGCACGCGCCAAACCACTGGTCCTGTGCTGCCTGGGAGTCGGGGGCCACGCCGGTGAGCCCGCTGCCACTGCGCAGCGGAGGCCGACCCTGATGCCACAGAGGTGCACTGGGACACCCTGGAGAGGAAGGAGGCCACCTACAGGTCCAGCTGCAGGGGAGGTCCACAGCAGATCTTTTGGGTAGCCATCCAAATCAGTGGGGGCTTGCCCTGGCCGGTTTGGCTCAGCGGTTGGAGCTTTGGCCTGCGGACCAGAGAGTCCCGGTTCGATTCTCCTAGGGGCACGTACTAAAAAAAAAAAAAAAACAAAAACACAAATCAGTGGAGGCTTATAAAGTTTGAAACTGAAACCCGAAACTATGTTGTATATTTGAAAGATGCTAAAAGAAATCTTAAAAATTCTTATTCTTAAAAATTCTTATCACAAGAAAAAAAAACGTGTAACTGTGTGAGGTGACAGATAACCAGAATTAATGTGGTGATCATTTTCCAATATATACAAGTACAGAATCACTATGTTGTACTGAAACTAATATAATGTCGTATGTCCATCACTATGTTGTACTGAAACTAATATAATGTCATATGTCCATAATAGCTCAATAAATAAAAAAAGAAACTAAAATAGAAACTTTGTGTCTCAAGATTACAAATATTTGAAAAGACTTTGTACATAAGAAAAATAAACAAAAAGAAAAATACAAAGAAAAAAAAGGGAAAAAAACTATAAAGAAATAAACCAAAAAGAAGCCCTGCCCGGTTGCTCAGTGGTTAGAGCCTCGGCCCGCGGACCTGAGAACCCGGGGTTCAGTTCCTGCTAAGGGCACGAACCTCAGTTACAGTTTGTCCCTGGCCCTGGTTGGGTCGTGTGGGTGGCGACCAGTCGATGTGTCTCTCTCACATTGATGTTTCTCTTTCTCTTTCTTCCTCCCTCTCTCCCTCTCACTCTATCTAAAGATAAATGCAAAAATGTCCTCAGGCGAGGATAAAAAACAAAACAAAATCCAACAAGACGTTTTACAGCAGAAGGGAGGAAAAAGGGGCCAAAGGACTGTTTAGAGAGTTAAATGCTGGCTCTGAGCCACAGAAATGCAGCCTCTGGGGGTATTGCTAAAGACCCACAATGCATGACCTTTTAAAAGCATCCAGGGCCTAGGGCCAGGGAGGTTGGGCCCCAACCCACTTTAGGTGAAAAGGTAAACAACCTCTTCCTTCAAAACAACCAGACCTGCCTTTGCTCAATATCCCCACTGCTCACCCCAAGGAGCCCCCTGCCAGTTACTCAAGTGCAAATGGCCTCCTGGGTAGGGGCTGTTGCGCTCAGGTGTACAGCCAGACACTGTGTTGCTAGTGGACCCCTCGGGTCTAACCTGTCTCAGGAAATGCACTGAAACAAATGAGCCTTGTGCACAACTGCACCACACAGGGCCCAGCATCCCTAAGTCGCTCTGGAGGAGCAGACATGCTGGTCATACCTGTCATGATCATCCCTATGGAATTTGGGAAGGAGACAGGGGTGTCTAGTGCTTGGTAGCAAGAACTTCCCGTGTGCATCAGGCTCCTGAGCACCAGCCTAAGGGAGAAGCAGAAGGTGAGGGCGGAGACAGCCCGGACAGATGGACCGAGGTCACCTTTCGCGAGCCTTCTGGGGCAGTTGATTCTTGGCATTCCGTGTTGCCTGCGCAGATAGAACGCTTCCCAGACTCCAGATCAGCCTTCACAAGCACACTTAGGTAGGCAGAATTCACCAGCACTGACTGCCTCTAAGACTAAATTCTTTAATGGACCCTTCAGAGGATATTTCTAGGAGACGTTCCCTTCCACGGAACCTTGGGACTCTGGCCTTGGGGTACAGGCAGGGCTCCCACGTTTCCTGAATGCAGTCATTATGCCAAGCTACCACCGCGTTGCTTCCGACGCTCTGTGCCTTGGGAAGCTGGGGCCCGGAGATGCCAGCTGGGGAAGATTCAGTCTTCTAGATGCTTGCCCTCGGTCGGACTCAAGCTGTGTCCCTGGCCCTACAACCCCCAGACCACTTAGAGCTTGTCCACGGCGTATTCCTCTGTCGGCTATTTACTAAGAACTACCAAGGTCATTGGTCTTGAAATATAAGAACAGGGTCTGAGATCTGGCTTTAAAGAGCTCACAGTCTAATTGTGTGTGTGTCGGGGGGGGGGGGGGGCGGGGTGTAGGTGAGTGGGAAGTGAAGCAGATGTTAAAATTATATTTTTGAGTGACAATAATTATACCTGCGAGGAGAAAGAAAGGGTACTATCTTACTTAGTCTGTTCGGGCTGCTATATCATAATACCAGACTGAGTGGCTGAAGAAGAACAGAGGTTCATTTCTCCTGGTTCTAGAGATGGGAAATCTAAGATCAGATTCAGTGTCTGCTGAGCACCTACTTTCCGCCGCGTGGGTGGCTGTCTGCTCCCTGTTCCCTCACATGGCTGAAGGGCGGGGAGCTCTCTTTTATAAGGACACTAATTCTATTCATGAGGGTTCCACCCTCATGGCCTAATCACTTCTCAGAGCTTTCCCTCCTAATACCGTAACATTTGGGGTTAGAATTCAATGTCTGAATTTGGGGGGGACACAAACCTTCGGTCTCTGCACGTGTAGCATTTAGGTGCACCCCTGAATAACGCAAGGCATTTCCGCAGGTGGGAAGAAAGCCCGCCGGGGGCAGAACGCAGCTGGAGCAAAGGCCTGACAACGAGGAAGGCTCGCCTTACCTGTGCATAGTTCAGTCAACTGTGGCTTGTTTTACATACGGCAAAGTGTACAAATCTCAAGTGTATATCTGTTTTTGAAAATATGTTTTTATTGTTTTCAGAGAGAGGAAGGGAGAAGGAGAGCTAGAAACAGTGAGAGAAAAACATCAATCCGCTGCCTGCCACACATTCCCCACTGGGGAAGGTCAAGCCTGCAACCCAGGCACGCACCCTGACTGGAACCAAACTGGCGACCTCCGGGTGCATGGGAAGATGCTCAACCAACTGAGCCACACCAGCCAGGGCTCAAGTATATATATACATATATATATACATATATATATATATTTAAATATTTTTTCTTTATTGATTCTAGAGAGAGAGGAAGGGAGAGGGAGAGAGAGATAGAAACATTGATGAGAGAGAACATCATCAGCTGCCTCCTGCATGTCCCCTACTGGGGGTCGGGCTCACAACCTGGGCATGTGCTCTGACTGGGAATCAAACCGGTGACCTCTTGGTGCACAGGTCGACACTCAACCACTGAGCCACACTGGTTGGGCTCAAGTATATATCTTGATGAAGTTTTGTACACATATAAACCCAAGTAAATTATCACCCAGACCAAGATACAACATTTCCAGTGCCCAAGTGGTCTCCCTGTGCCCTCTGCAATCCAAATCCTTCCCTAGGTGACCACTATCATGACATCAACCACCATAGGTTAGTTTGCTGTTGGCTTTTATTTAAATGAAAGCATACACCTTGTCCTCTTTGTGTCTTACTTCTTATACTCAGTCTTGTGTCTCTGTCATGCCTCTTTTTTGCTGGTAACAGGTCATTCTTTTTCATTGCTGTGTAGTATTCCATTGCATGACTATGCCATGCGTTGTTTGTATCTGTCATGTTCATGAACATTTGGATTGCTTTTGGGGTTTGTCTATTATAAATAATGCTTCCATAAACTCCTTGTACATTAGTACTCATTTCCCTTCAAAAGACACTTTCACAAAAGGCTAGTTTAGAACAGTGGTTCTCAACCAGGGATGAGTTTGCCCCCCAGAGGACATTTGGCAATGTCTGATGACTTTTTTGATGATCCCAGCTTGAATGTGATGTGTGCTACTGCCATCTAGTGGGTAGAGACAGAGATGCTGCTAAGCATCCTACATTGCATAGGAAGTCCTCCCCTAGCGGAGAACCATCCAGGTTCCTAGAAGCTGCTCAGGGTGTGTCCAGGCGGCCTTGGGGGCTCTGGATGGTGAGGTTTCCATCAGTGAGGGACATTCAGACCAGACTCCATCTGGCATCCAGCACTAGTTGTCATCAGTCTGGTGGATGGTCCCTGGTGTCCCGTGGCTGACCACACGCTGCAGCGCGCCCTGCATGTCCCGGTTCCGCAGCGTGTAGATGGCCGGGTAGAGCAGTGGTGTGAAGTTGATGTAGATGAGGGACACCAGCTTGTCCTCCTCGAGGGAGCGGCTGCTCAGGGGTCTGGCGTACATGGCCGTGGCACAGCCATAGTGGAGCACAGCTACGGTGAGATGTGACGCCACCGTGTGGAAGGCCTTGCGGCGGCCTGCGGCCCCACCAACGCCCAGAATGATTAGCAGCACCCTGGTGTAGGAGAGCAGGATCAGGGCCAGCGGCAGCACGAGCAGCAGGAGGCAAGCCGCCAGCAGGACGTGCTCCTGCAGGTCCCGGTTCCCACAGGCCAACACCAGCACGGCCGGCAGGTCGCAGAAGACGTGGTTGACCACGCCCCCGCGGCAGAAGGGCAGCTGGAATATGGCAGTGGTGAGGCCTAAGGCCAGGATGGAGCCCCCAGCACAGCAAGAGGCGAGCAGGCACCAGCAGAGCCTCGTGGTCATGAGCTGAGGGTAGTAGAGAGGGCGGCAGATGGCCAGGTAGCGGTCCAGGGCCATGGCAGCCAGCAGCAGGCACTCAGAGCCACCCAGTGCCACAAAAAGGCCCATCTGGGCCGCACAGGTGGAGGGGGCCACCTCCTGGCCACCAGGAGGCAGGAGGAAGCCAGCAAGCATGCGTGGGGTCAGCACCAGCGTGTAGGCCACCTCCACCGCGGACAGGGCCCCCAGGAAGAAGTACATGGGCATGTGCAGGGCAGGGTCCGCCACCGCCAGGCCCACGATCAGCAGGTTCCCTGCCAGCGTGGCCACATACAGTGGCAGGAGGAGGGCAAAGAGCAGCGCCCGGAGCCACTGGGGCCAGCCGGAGAAGCCCAGGATCACAAACTCCTGCGGGCTGGTCCAGTTTGACCAGTGGTTCATGTTGGGACCTGGGGGAAGTCAGGTGCAGGCTGGAGAGGGGTCACAGTGGCACGCCCTCCCACCTGGCCATCAAAGCTCAAGTGTCCTGCCTTCCCCTTGACTCACTCAGCTGAGAGACACGTTCTTCCTCTTCTCTTCTTTCTCTTCACACACCCTGCTCCTTACGTCTTGACGCCTTTGAGGCCTCCTTGAAGCTCACCTGTCCCGAGGAGCCTTAGCCGGTTGGGCGGAAACACTGCTTCGAAGCACCTTCCATGTGTGACATAGTGATGCCCATCAAACTACCGGGCCGGGCCGGCATCATTCCTTCGTGTTTAACCAATGGCTCCTCTGCTCCCGGGAGGCTGGCAGGGCGCTGAGGTCATTTCTATAGCGCACAGACCAACAGTCGCTGCGTCGCAAACCACGCGGCCATCCTACGACCTGCCGTGGACGGAGAGCCGGTCGTCACGCGCCAGCACCTGTCTCCTCACCTGGAAGGTAACAGAGTTGGACCAGACGGTCTTTAAAGTTTCTTCTTCTGGTTGATATCTTATGGTTCAATCAAAAGTTGTGTTTGTGGCTATGTGTTTATTCCCAAGGTAAACCATTAAAAAAAAAAAAAGATATTTTGATGTTTCAAAACCCCGTAGAGAAGTTTGAAGGGGTGGGTTAATTTCGAATTCTGAGTCAGTAGGGGAGACGTTAGGTTAGGTGTCACGTAGTTGGCGCCCATCTATGGGCCTTCGAGGACCGGTGACACGGCAGAACAGGCCCTTAAGCTGCACCAGTGTGTTCGTGTAAAGCAGCGGTTCTCAACCTTTCACAGGGGCCGCCTAAGACATAACAGTAGCAAAATTACAGTTATGAAGTAGCAACGAAAATAATGTTATGGCTGGGGTCACCAGGACACGAGGAGCTGTGTTAAAGGGCCGGGTGTCGGGAAGGTTGAGAACCACCGTGTCCACGGGCAGGGTGTGCGCAGTGCACTGTGGGATGCATTCTCCTGCCTCACTCACTCTGGGCGGCCTCAGGCAGCAGGGGCGTCTGGGGCTGAGTCGGGAGGGTTGGCTTCTAGTCCTGCCTGTGAGGTCACCCGAGTCACATCTTTCTCTGGGTTTCACATTCCTCATCTGTCCCCTGATGCCCCGAGATCTAATCGTTCGGTTTCTCGTGGAGTGGGGGTGGCACAGGGGCACGGACGGGCTTCGGGTCCACCCACGCCTGGGCCTTCATCTCAGCTCCTCCTCTGACTGTGGAGAGAACCTGGGGAGCGTTTGTAACCTGACGCACCAGCAGCCTCCTGGCCCGCAGAGCTGTTTTAGCGACAGACTGAACCGAGGGATGGAAAGTGCCTGGCACGGCGGGGCCTACGTCTAGGAAGTTCTCCTGAGTGAAAACCACCACGCTCAGTGCTTTCATTGCCCCGGGCTCCTCGTGTGGTCGTTACATTCCGCCCAGCCGACCATCTCAGGACGGAAGAGTCCCCTGCAGAGACCAGGTAACGGTGGGAAGAGGACCTGGCGGCAGAGGCCTGCAGCAGACCGGGGCTACCTTTCCAGCTGCTGGATTCCCCGACCCGCTGTGCCTTCAAGTTTCCAGCCTTGTCTCCCCTCCCCAACCTCTCCTGCCAGCTCCCCCTCATGGTCTCCTGCCTCCATCCTACCCTTCGCCCCGCAATACCCCGCTATTTCCCCCAAATGCCCATGGGAGCGAGAGATCGGAATCAAAACAACAGCTACCTCTGCCGTGAGGATCCCTGCCCTTGGCTGAGGCCGATGATGAGCAAGAGTGTTCTGTGCGTTCCACACGCACACTACTATTGCATCTCAGCAAGCCGGCCTGCAGTAACGCGCGGTATTGTTATTATCCTTATCCTTATCCTTCCTTATCCTTATCCTTATCCTTATCCTTATCCTTATCCTTATCCTTATCCTTATCCTTATCCTTATCCTTATCCTTATCCTTATCCTTATCCTTATCCTTATTCTTCGTTTAGAGATGAGGAGGCTGAGACTTAGAGAGATCAGCCTGTTCGAGGAGTCTCCCTCGGCTGGGATTTGTCCCCAGGTCTGTCATGTTATGCAGGGGCCACTCTTCCACCTCTCCTATCTGTCCGTCCCCCCACCGCACCCCCAACAAGGGGAAGGAACAGGACTGCAGGAAAGAGAGCGAAGCAGGCTTAGAGGCGCGGAGGCGCTGAAGCAGAATGAAGGCAGTGTGCGACCAGAAACGGGCAGAGGCGCCTGCCCAGCGCGGTGGAAGACAGATGAGAAGTGAAGACATGTGCCATTTGGCAGAGTGTCCCCAGCCTGGGTGGTTCACTGGGCTCTGGGCAGAGAGAGACAGAGACAGAGACAGAGACAGAAAGAGAATCTCACATCGCCCAGACTTCTGGACCTCAAACTCCCTGCTCACAGAATTTCCTAAGGCAAAGGTGGGTTTGAGCTGGTGAATTCGGCAGGGGCTCTGCACGCACTCCCTGGCCCCCACCCCCACAGGAGCCATCTTCCATGGCGTCCCTGGAGGGAAAAGATGGGGATATGAAAATTCATTGAAGGAGAACCCAGACTCAGGGCCCCCAGACCCGAATGCCAGCCTGAATCGGCTCCTCAGCTCCTCGGTTGACCAGGCCCATTGCCCAGGGTTCCAACAAGGACTCGGAAGAGAGAGATCCGCTCTGGGGTGAGGAGAAGCTGCCTTGAATTCTGGCGGGAAGTGCCAGCTCCGACCTCACAGTGTGGACCCCTTACCTTTCTGCTCCCACCCTCGCCAACGCTGCCACATAGCCCCGCAGCTCCCTGTTTGCCGCATCACTCATTTCTCCCTGACCTCACTCGCTTCTCCCATCCACCGTCCTCTCCGCACCTGCAAACCTACTCATTCTGCAAGGCCTGGACTGAGCGTCTTCAAGGCTCTGGGACTAAGAAGAATCAGGTGGCAGAGCAGATTGAAGAAGGATTTTATAGAGAATGGAGAGCAGACAGGCTCCACCATGCCAATCTCCCTCTTCTGTCAGGCTCTTCTGATCTCGGTTCCCAGGGACTCCCAGTAACGGAAGTTACTTAATAGGTTTCCCAGGGCCCACTTAAGGGTCTGGCACCAACAAAGCCCTAGAGCCTCATTAATGATCTTCTCCCCTAACTTTGGTATCTGAGGAGCATTCGGTCTCAGAAGGCTGGGGACTGAAGGGTTGAGACTGGGGAGGACTTGGGAAACCTGAACAGGGGTCTCCTGGGAGAGCATGAAACTTCTGGGCAAAGGGGACAGAGGCCAACTCCCTGCAGTGATGAAGAAATTGTCTGCAACAAGAGCTCGGGGTCAACCTGAGCCCGGGAGAATGTTTCCCAAAGCAGGTTGGGAGACATGTCCCTGGAGCGAGGAGAAGCAGGTTACTGCTTTCTTCACATTTCCTCAAAGTCTGAATCAAAGGGTAGCCAGAAGACAGAGATCGCAGACTAGACTGAATGGTGTAGTTGATGGGGGTGGAAATCTTCATTATCATTTTCATCATCATTATCATTATCACCACCACCACCATCACCACTGTCATCACCACCATCATCCCCACCCCCACCACTACTACCACCACCATCACCACTGTCATCACCACCATCATCCCCCCCCCCACCACCACCACACCACCAGTACCATCTCCACCACCACCACCACTACCACCACCATCATTACCACCACCACCACCATCATCCCCACCACCACCACTACCACCACCACCATAACCACCACCACCACCATCATTACCACCACCACCATAACCACCACCACCACCATCATCCCCACCACCACCACCACCACACCACCACTACCATCTCCACTACCACCACCACCACAACCACCACCATCATTACCACCACCACCATAACCACCACCCCCACCATCATCCCCACCACCACCACTACCATCACCACTACCACCACAATCATCACAACTACCACCACTACCACCACCATCATTACCACCACCACCATTACCACCACCACCATCATCACTGGAAAATACTTTCAAGTACTGAACAACAAAACACAATAATTTGCCCATTTCTTGTGTTCTCATTACCCATTTGCCAAGAAAGTGAGAGCATTGCAGAGTATATGGTTTTGTACCGTTATTCCCATTTAATATTGAATTATACACATTTTCTATGTGCTACATATTCATTCTCTTTAACTATTTCAAGTATTAATTATTTTAAATCCTCACCCGAGGATAGTTTTCTATTCATTATCAGATAGAGTGGGAGGGAGGGAGGGAGAGAGAAACATCTATGTGAGACACATCGACTGGTTGCTTCCTGCAAGACCCAACCTGGGCCGGGGACAAACTGCAACTGAGGTACGTGCGTTTGACTGAAATCGAACCCGAGAATCATCGGTCTGGGGGCCAACGCTCTAACCACTGAGCAAAACTAGCCAGAGCTTAATTTATTTTTTAAAACATGAAATACATTCTTCAAAATTCAAAGGGTATACAAGTATAGCCTGCCCCAAGAACCCTGCCTCCACACGTACCCGAGGCAGCAGCTTTGATCACGTTCGTATTTGTCCTTCCAGAGATCTTCCAGGTGTACACAGGACAGCATGCATGTGTATATGTCACTGGCTATTTTTAATGGACAAAATATTAGCAGCATCCTCAAATTATTATAAGTCCTCTTCATTTCGTATACCTTGGACATCATTCTGTAACAGTATATTTTAATTTGTTTAACAAACACTTAAGTCGTGTTGACTATCTACCAACACTGTTCTTTGGTGATAGAAAAATATTGATTCCGTCAAGCCTCACAATAACCCTACTGTGTAGGTGCTATTATCACCATGAAGGCATAACGATGTGGTGTGAGTTGCCCATGGTCACACAGCTGCTAAGTGGGTAGTGTGCCCACGCTTTCGAATACTCTGCAGTGCAGTCCCTGCCTATGCTGTACTGCCTTCGTACGACAAGTGTCCTGTTCTTTGTCATGTTGTATCCCGTGCATTGTACGCAGGTGCCATAATTTA